AACCGAACCCTGCGGCACCCCACAAAGGAGGTTACTTTTTCATCACCATTGTAACTGCGAACAGTCACTAAACAAGGCAGTCGCTAAATGAGGACTACCTGTATGTTTCAAAGAACATAATTTGGCTTTAGGCCAGAGTTTTTATTTTCTCAATGTCATGGAAGCCTCTCTAAACAGAATTAAACACAGAAAATTCCCAAAGGAGGAAGAGCAGAAGCTGGTGACTTCCAAACGCTTTGGGATGGTCCTTAAATGCTCTGACGCAATTTTGAATGAGGGAATAAATACAGTTGCAGTGGAAAAGGAGGTATGAGGAAAACTCTGCTTTTTTGTCTGCAAGAGAATTTCATTTTCAAATAAAACTTTATACAGTTTTTTACAAAATACCTGCAGACTGATGCTGAAAATCAGCATGGAAGAAGGAAAGATAATGGAACAGATGTTATAGACCTGTGCAATATCTAGAAATGCCTCTTGGTAACATATGCTTGCAACTATTAATTTCGTAATTTCCCCTTATTTTCAAAAAAGCTTGCCATTGTGACATAGGTTTCTTCGTTATTTAATAACCTTTTCTCACCATTGGGATAAGCTTGGCAACAAGAGCCTGTCTTTAATTCAGGGAGAATAATATGGCCCATTAAGCTGTTGGAATTTTTACCCAGATCGTTGTTCCAGCCATGTTGGTCAGCAACTCTGCTGTCATCACATAGACTGATGCTGGGGAATGAGTCATCAGCAGAGGTGTCCTCACTTCCACTGGAGAGCTTGTCCTTCATCTCTGTTGGCAACATTCCTTCATATGCCAAAGGCAGCTTCAACCAACCATGATGAATACTGTCCTTTCGTTTCACCAAATTCTCAACATCTGCATCCAAATTATGTGATGGGAGCTGAAGGTGGCCGATTTCTGATTTAGCCTGAATACTGTCCACCTTATGAATGTGAGTATATCCCAAACTCTCAGGATTAAAGAAACTTGCGTCTGAGTTCTACACAGATGACAAGATATTTAACAGGGAATTAGTTCAATACATTTTGAAAGTTGTAAAGCCAATGCACCAATCTCTAAAAAATGTATTCAACACACTTTTTTCCTAGCAGTTTCCCATGCTGTTTCCAATTTTATATTTCCACCTTCATATCTATAAGAACAAATCAGCATTTGCTCCCAGCATTCCTTTCTATTGACCATGCTGGTCACAGCACCATGGGGTTATAGTTCAGCAACATCTACAATATTCTATGTTTCTTACTTGTAGCATAGCTGGAGCTGGGTGAGTCAATTGTCCAACCAGGTAGAAACAGCTTCCTAAATGGAGTCTGAAATCTATACGTGCCATAGAAGTAATGATGTTGCTGAAGAAGCAGAATGAACTATATTACTTCAAGGCAGAATACGGGTGGGGGGGTGGGGGGGTGGGGGGGGCTACTACTTGAGAATGCAGAGCATTCTATGTGCAGATGGATATAATCCAGTCAATTCTAACAATATTCTGCCCTTTGGTTCTATGGCATGACTAGGTCAGGCCTCCTCGGGAATCTTAGGAAAACTATAGACTCTCATCTAGTTTACTGGAAATGTCATAAAGAATAGAACTCTGTTGTTAAGGTCAGGCCCTGTTTGGCCTAACCCTGGCCTACTTTATAGGCTTGTCACTAAGGGAAGATGGATATAAAACACTCAAGGTTCTTGGCATAATCAAAGGTCTAGACAATGTCACCCATCACTTCCCTGGATGGCAATTAAAATATTAAATGGCTATATCCTTCAAGACTGCCAAATCTTTGAAGATGCCAGATGCCAAGCGAGATTATGGGTAAGACTACAAAAATCTTGTGAGATGTCAGGATTGATTGACTGGTTGATTGGATGCTTGCCACCATGCTCACTATCATATAAGGTTTCTAACTCCTGGCAAAAGTTGTAGAGTGCTGAAGTATAGGTTCTGTCTTTCAAGATGTACTTGCCATAGTAGGAACAATCTTCTCCCATCCTCTAATGCCCAGAATTTCAGAATTCCCAGGCAGACTGCTTTAAAGCTAGAAATTCCTCTCCCAGCATATTGAGAAATGCTGTTGTCACATAGTTGTTTGAAGCATGGTCAAAACCTGGTAATAGAGGATTATTTCTTTTTCATGTTGAAGACCTGCAAGGCTAGTTTTTCCTGTAGTAAAAGTACTAACCTTTCTTAGTTTGTTGCAGAATTTATCCAGAGTTTTTTGATGGTTAGGGATGCTGGGCCATAACATTTCTTTGATCCTAAAGAAGATAAAACAACAACCATGTTGATGAGGAAGAATCTTTCAACATCCTTTGTGAATGAGTCTTACACAAGTTAGAACTGTGCCGCTGTCCTGATGTGGTTACTAAAGATAAGGGTGAAGATACCCCAAAGTCCAGTTGATGACTACATGGATACAACTGTGCCATTTTCTTGGCAACAATAACAAAACAGTTACTGTCAATTTCCAAAATATGTTTTTCAATGTCCTAAACTAGACTATAGCCCTGATATTCATTTAGGATTTCCTATCGCCAACCTGACTCTGCTTTGCTTCCATGCCCCACCAAAGTTAATCAGGTATTACCACTGGCTTAAACACAACTAATGTTGGCTAAATCAGATATTTTGTTCATGGAACTTGCTTTGCAGTACCTGTGTTTGTGGACAAAACAGAACATGTGAAACTGGAAGCCAGAAATTCAAGAAGTCTTTTTGAGAAGTGTTTAACTAGATTTTAACGGCTAGGTTAAAAGTGAAGCTTCTGAATTTATTGATGATTCATATCATTGGACATTTTGGCAAAGAATTACAAGAGTTGAAACCTAATACATATGAATGGGTCCAAGTTTTAGGATTGTTCCATGTGAGATTCTCATTGTTACATTAATTAATATTTTTTTCATCTCCCCAACCTGACAAATTGACGTACCTTCTTAAACTGTAAAAGCCTAAAAAGTGAATTCTGAAGAATCCACTGGGAATCTCTTTTGGGAAACTCAATCAAAAAGTATTATTTTTCCATAAAGAAGGACAGCTGAATTCAGTATTATGTTTCCCGCTCTAGACTAAGGATATTCAAAGCATTCCCAGAAATGTAGAGATAATTCAGTGAAATGGATCCAGACTTAAGCAAACATAAAACAGGCCCATTAAAATCAATAGACCTTAAGTAAATATTTGCTCACAACTTTGTTAGTTTAATTAGTTTACTTTAAATATGATGAAGTCTAAATCCAACCCATTCTCCAGAACCCACCATACTGTGAACAAATTACATTGAAAGCAGGAAAGATTGAACATGACTCCAACTCTTCTCCTAATAAATATACATTTATATATTTATTGTGTCCTAAACAATAAGCTAAGCCATAAACTATGATTTACAAACAACAATGGCTGGATTCACACATGACTCTAAGTCAAAACCCAACAAATATGTTTTAGCTCATTGTATGAACCTAGACTGATCATTTTCTTAATTGAAAGTTTTTTAAAATTACCTGTTTTTCCAAAATACTGGGACCAGAAAAATTACAATGAGGAGCACAAAGAAGGTTGTGACGGATACTGTTAACAGGACAAGTTTGTCTAAGGAAAGAAATCTTAGCTTTAAAAATAGTAGATTCTTCATTGGGAATCAAACTCAACATGACATTACAGGTAATACACAAATCTTATATGCAACTTCCATTAACTAACCTCCAGAAACTTATTTCCTGCCTGAACAGAGTTCTGGTTCTGGACATCCTCTACTCTATACCACTAGCCTAACTTCTGACCATTTAGCTTGTGATGTACGGACATACCAGCATGAAGATGTTTACAAACCAATTATGGCTCCAGGTCTCACCTTAGCAATGCAAAGTCCTGTGTTCATCCACCATCTGACCATTGCCCACCCACAATCAAACAAATCCTACAAAGAAAGGTTAGAAGTATATTCCTTAGCAAGAAAAGAAAACTGCAGAGGCAATTCTTGCAGTTTTCTAATTCTTAAAAGGCTATTGTATAAAAGAAGAACAAAGTTTTGTTCTTTGCTACTTTAGAGGGGAAGACTAGATTTAATGGGATTAAGTTACCATAGAGTAAATTGTAATTGAACACTGGGTGAAAATTCTTGACCAAGCAATTCAGCAATGGAATCAATTCAGTTGGTGAATTTGCCTCCACCAAAGTTCCTGCAGCACAAGCTGGGGATGTCCAAGCTCCAAAAATTCTGATTATCAAGGATAGTCTTGTGCTTCATGGTCTCATGAAGTTCTTATGGTTCTGTGGTGATACCTCTGGCCCCTGATCCTTGTTTGCCTGTCTTCCAAATGACCTAAAACCAAGTGTCCTGCTTCTGACCAATTTCTTCTGCTTCTCTCTCTATATATTGAAAACAGATCCTAAATTGTCCACACAATACAATTGCTCTGTGCAGTACATATTCTTCCAGACACCATACTTTAAAAAAAACAGCTGTAGGGAAGAGGGATCTGGAAATGAGGCATGGCATTGTTTTCCTGCCAAAAATTATTTCCATAGCTATTTGCTTCTTTGAAAAGTACATGGTGAAAGAAACATTATTCGTTTAAGATCATATCTGATAGGGCCTGGATTTTGATCATGGTACATCAGCTACTATTGTCAATTAATACCCTGTATTGGTAGGAGTTATAAAAACGGCATGTTATGTTCAGAAAGCCTTATTGAAGTTAATGCATAAAGTTTTTGACCCTAATCCAACTATACCGCATTTTATAAAAGTTTCAGGTGGAAATGCAAATCTCCAGCTCTATCAAAAGCATCCATTAAATTCAGTGGAGATCAGTATAAGGTATACTACAGAACTGTCTTGCTGGACTAGGATGAATGAAACTAACAGAAATCTGCCAATATATTCTGAACCAAACCTTGCTTCCAGTTTCCCATTTTTCAAGACATCCTTTTAAAGGTCATTTTACAATAAAATCCACATCTTGGGTTCTACAGCCCAAGAAGACAAGCACATTGGAGGCCAGGCAAAGTTCCCTCCTGCCCTCCAGTTTTTTGCCCCACATGATTGCTGTATGTCACAGGTTGGTCATTGTAGTTTCTATCTGTGGAGTACTGTAGCAGGTAGCTCAGTCCCAATACTTGCCAACCAGAAGGATAGAAGAGAAAACAGCCAGAACAAAGCTTTTCATTAATGGGAAAAATTAACTACAGCTAGAAGAGGAAGGATGGCTCAGTCAAATTCTTGTGACCACTAGAATGAGCAAGGGAAGAAAAGAAAGACTGTAAAGATATGAGTGAAAGCAGAGTGTAGAGACCAACAACAGGCACTGGGTATGGCTTATGTCTAATCAATGGACTGAGGTCTCTGAACTCCATGCACATGGGAGTGGACTACTAGATAAGCAAGTCAATAAGCAAATCCCCTCACTCTGTTAAAAGATGAAGCCTTCAGAATGGAAAAGCAATGCGACCAAATATGTAATGCTAGGAGAAGACCATACAGTAAAACAGCAGTTTTATAGTGTCCATGTACCTGTGCTTGTATCGGTAGCGGAAGGCTTTATTTGTTTAATATAAGTGAGATCTCATCTGGCTTTGGTGTTGTACTAAAATTCTTTTGTGTTCCCATCAGGAGGCCACTGTAAATACTTGTTCTAGATGCTAATGGTCAGAGAACTGTGACTTCAAAGGCTTGGCTTGAAAATAAGCCAGTGTATAGCTCTCCCCCACATCAGGAAACTGTGTTGCTCATTTCCATGCTAATCCTTGAAACTACTCCCCTCCCGAAACTATCTAAACCATTCTCATACTATTCTTCAGACTGGCATAGTGGCCACAACCAGGAGAAGCCAACCCCCTCTCCAGTTTTTCACATTCTGTTTCGCAGTGTCTCAGGGTACAATGGCATTGTCTGGCAACGTTGACCCTGGTTGTAATGCCATCTGCAGCAGTATAATAAAATAAGGCACATAAAAAGGGGGCAGGACCACTTCCACCATCCTGCCTTTTTTTGATCACCCTCACCCCAGTCCATTCCTGGAAGATACCAATGTCTGGTTGAGCTACCAGTTTTTTAGGCTTAGCCACCAAATATCAGAAACATACTGTTGGATCCATGATTACTTACATAGTATACTTTTTCTCAATAAGAATTTTGGGAACATAATCCAAATGGAGCTATTGACTGGATTTTGATTCCTCTTTTGTATTTAACTGCTGGTATATTGTACATTCATAAGGCATTTTTTTCTTTAGTAAAGTTTTGATTGCATTTATATCTTCCCTTTTCTCTTGTAAGGTCAAGGCTGCATACATATGGATCTCTTCCTATTTTATCCCTGGGAGGCTGTTGGGCTCACAGAGACAAAGGCCCAAATTCACCCCATGAGTTCCATGAACAAACAGGGACTTGAAGCTGGATGTCTTTGTCAAGGTCCAACAGGTTTACCACTGCACTAGGCTACAGTATAAACATTTCTAATATTCTTGATTTGCAATAGGAATAAAATAAAAATCTGGACTTACTTATTCCATTTGATATTCCGGCGGAAGTTTTGAAATATTGGGACGAGCTCCATTCACTCCAGTGGCCTTTGAAATAAGCTCCATTGGGTTTTGACCGAACTTTCATCTCATATGTTACTTCTGGCTGAAATTTCTTTCCCAGAAGTTTTAATATAAGAAAATAAGATTCGATTGTCTAAGACAGGAATAAATGTGAGGATTTTTTTTTTAAGTAAAAAAAAAGAAATCAAGATCACTGTAAGTATGTTCATTCATCTGTACACAGTGAAATCTTTTTTACCCTATTAACAGATGGGAGTGTGATGACATCCTATACTGGCATCCAAAATGCAGCAGCTTATTTTGCATCAAAAAGATGTACAGAATCATTCATGGGAAATGATCTGATTGGTGCACCAATGAATGTTTGCCTGAATTCATGTGCCACCATTGAAGCACGGAAGACAATTTTTTATTTAAGTCCATTGTTCATAGTCTGTTCTCCAACATGGAGAAAGGTTGGAGCCTGGTGACAGACCACATGCTTCCATGTAAAAGATCCCGGTTCTGTCTCTGGCAAATTCAGACAGAGCCGGGAAGAACATCTAACTGAAATTCTAATGAGCCAAAGCCAGTCAGTATAAATAATACTGAGTTTGTGAATCAGTATGGTCTGATATGATGAAGAACAGCTCCCTCTGCTGTAGCATTATAAACAGGAAATGTGAGCTTAATTAATTGTATAGACCAGTGTTTCTCAACCTCAGCCACTTTAAAGCATATGGATGTCAACTCCCAGAATTTCCCAGCCAACATGCTGACTGGGGAATTCTGAGAGTTGAAGTCCACACACCTTAAAGTTGAGGTTAAGAAGCACTGGTATGTTTCTCATCCTCAACTTTGAGGTTGAGAAACACTGGTATAAACACATCCAAAGCTATATCATGTGTCTCTGGATGATATTAAGTGAGAATTACAAATGTCCCTATTACTCATCTGGGACTGAACCATGTACAAGTTCACGCTCTGGAGTCATAATATGCAAATGTAGTCCTGGATTCCAAGCAGAAGGAAATCAATCACTGGAAATTGGATCTGTGTTAGCTGAATTCCTTCTCTGCATATCCTGCTAGAAGCAGAATTTAAAGTAAGCATCCTCTAAACCAGAAAGTTTAGGTCAAATCAAAAGCATTGCCCAAACAGTGTTGGTAAGCTGAATTACAAATCTGCTTTGTTGTAACCAAGTTTGGTTTGCATCTAACAGAAACATTTCTGGAGAGGAAAAAAAAAATCCCCAGAAAATCAGATGTTTCTTGTTGAGCTCTGCATGTTCCCAGCCAGTTAATTATTTTCATCATGAACTACTATGAGTGAAGTTGGATGTAGGGGTTGTGGGGAGCATTTCTAATGTTAACAAGGAATAATATCTGATGCTCTGGAAGATTGATATTAGCAAGAACAAACATTCAAATGTTAATTTTCATTGGCTTTTGAAAATAAAAATCTATGAGGTACTCCATATTAGAAATTAAAAGCATTGGCAACTGGTTATTTATTCATTCTAAACACTTTCAATTTAGGTTAAAAAAAACCCAGCCTCTCAGATAATAGTTTGCATGACAACAGACACAAAACAGCCCTCACCTGCAGGCGTACAACTGAAAACAAGTAGAAAATGCAAAACTACTCATTCTTACTCACAGTCCAGTCTGCATTTTCTTGTCGGTAGGCTAATTGATGTATTAATTTGTTTTCAAGGAATGAGTTTGCTATATGGGGAGTTGAGAATTGGACAAGATACTCATTTGCCGTTTCCTGGTAGGTGATATTTAGATCAAATGGTGCTTCAGGTTTAACTGCAAATGACAACGTAAAGAAAACGATAAACAACATCTCACAGACGCACACGCACACCTCACTCCAAAATACAATCAGGCAGCATGATCCTTAAACTGCTGCTGTTTAAGGAAATTACAGAGTGAACTGATTCAGATTCAAATTATTCTGTGCAGTACATAAAATGTGGATGACTCATTTGAGGGGCGGAATTAATATTTCGACCTCCCCTCCTTTACTCAAACTTCATCACCTCCAGGCTCAAAATCCAGCTTAAACCCAACAATTATTAAAAGAAATCATTTCCACCACATATTAGAATGTTTGTTTTCATGCTTGTAAGCTACAACTTATTAAAGCTGCAGGGATATAAGCGTGGCACCTGAAAGCCTGATTAAACAGTGGGGGTTCCTTCCAAGTAGTTATGCATATAATAGTGTGTTAAATTAATCAAACTTTTTTTTTTTTGCATGGAGTCCATCACTGCAGTGTTATCTTGCTGGCTAATATATATGCCTAAATAGTTAAGGAAATGATATATTAGACTTATTTTCTATTTGTGGATCTAGAACAGTGTTTCTCAATCTCAGCAACTTTAAGATGTGTGGACTTCAGCTCCCAGAATTCCCCAGCCAGCATGCAATTCTGGGAGTTGAAGTCCACATATCTTAAAGTTGCTGAGGTTGAGAAACACTGATCGAGAGGACAGTTACTTTGAACTATGTAAAACCTTCCACTTGTGCAAGCAGATTCCCTTCCATGACTTGGATCAACACCACAACATCCTCCTGGCAGGATAATTCCCATCTTTTTCTTCTAAATTTGGAAATGGAAGAACATGAGTCTTTGGGCTGTGTACTGATGTAACTAAACTTCATTTTGCTCCTGTTTTGAACAGGTTCCAAAATGAACCCAAATGGACATCACACCATACATATATGCTTACTGATATGAGTTGCTTTCATTTTCTGGCAGTCTTTGCAAGGATTTATCAATGTTATGGTCAAGCAAACTTCAAAAGAACGAAGAAGATCACTGTTGTCTATAGAACAATTCCTTACAAGGGGGCCTTTCATGAAGCAGAGCTGGGGTTGGATCCCATACCTGTGAAGAAATTGGGTGTAGCGGTGACATTTTGGAAAACCAAAATGGTTCTGGGAACTGGAGATGTAAAAGAATTGAAAAGCAGGACAACATAGCCCTTCACAGAGCTAGTGAATTCAGTAGAACTTACACCTTGGTTAGAAAGCTGCTGTAAAGTCTCATGGCTAAGAAGCTGTTGTCACTGGAAGCTTAAGAGGAAGCACTGTGATTGTTTTGGTCATGTAAATGAGAGAGAGGGTGAGGACTTTGGGCAGGAAATCACTTTCATTGTTTGGCAGAGAGGTACAGAAAAGCAGTGCTAAGTTTGTCTACCCTTACAGAACCAAACATAGTCTTTAGCTACTCAAATAACCATCTTACACTTCCTCATATTGGCACACTTACTCCAAACCTTTCCTGATTCACTATCTTCCAAAGTAACGGGACATTAACTTCTGTTGATGAAAAAAGATTTCTGCCTTCTAATTTCCCAATTATCTTGTGATCAGATAATATATATGATGAATCAATCCTCACTTTCTACATTGCAGTATTGTAAAGCGTTCCACAAAGGAAGTCGTGCTATATATCTGTATTTGAAAGAGAAATGGTTTGGGTTGTGTTACTTGCATATGCCAACCCTAAAAAGATCAACAGGTTAATTAGAGTATTCTTGGGCTAGAATTATCAGCATTAAAAAATATTTTCTCTATTTTTAACATCTATCCATTTTTATGGCAAAGTTCATCTTCCCTTACAAAAACTTTATAGTCCTGGAAAGCTAGGAAAAATCATGTGCTTAATCAGCTAAGTAAGGTAAAAGTAAGGGCCAACTTAATAATCAGCACCATTATGTTATATACAACTTTCCTGTATTTTTTCAGTAATGTTAGCAGGATCACAAGGAGTCCCCTCTCCAATCTTTGTCAAAAGATCTCAATTTCTACCCTTTTTGTTTCTCAAAATGATCAAGATGCAGAGGCTAAGAAAGTTACAGATATAGTATGATCAGAGCAGTGTTTCTCAACCTTGACAATTTTAAGATGGATGGGCTTCAACTCCCAGAATTCCCCAGCCAGTATGAGGATCAGAGGATTTATGGCCTAAGATAGGGGTTCTTAACCTGCAGTCCAGAGACCTCTTGGGGGGGTCTGCGAATAGATTTCAGGAGGTCCATGAATTTGTATGTGAAAAAGATTAGAACTTCATTTTCACTAACTAACTGAAAGTTAGCTTTTCATTCTGTAATGAATGTAGGCAACAAGGTAATTTATGGCCTCTAGACTCCAAAAATGTTCATTAAAATTATTATACCCCCCAAAAATCGAAACCAGAATACATGTGGTTATGTGAAGTATTGTTTTCTCCAAAAACATGTAATTGATCATGGTCAACACAGCTTGCATTTCAAAGGTTCTTTTGCACTTATGTCCATGCAAGACATTAATCCTACAATTCTAGAGATCTAGAATTAATTGAGTTATCGCTCCATTAAGTCTTTTCTATATCTATGTATTTTATTTTATGCATTTAAATACATTTTTCTGAGAAGTGGTCTGTAAGTTTCATCAGACACTCAAAGAGGTCCATGACGCAAGAAAGGTTAATTCCTCTTGTCTAAGAGTTGTGAAAACACCAATCTACAGGCCAAATGCAGTAACCTCTGACCAATTTTTGAAGCCCCAGAACCCCCTAAGATCGCATCCCGCAAATTCTGCAGCCAATTTTTTTTCTTTTCAATGGATTAATCTTCTGGTACTTAAGTAATTATGTTTGCAAGCATTAGAGAGGTTCTTACACAGAAAAACTGGCATTTGCCTCATTCAGGTTCATCTCGGTCCCAGTAGCATCACAAATTAAGAAATTGCTTTGGAATACTGGCATTTGAATGAAACATTTAAAGCCGTTGTCCTGCTCAGCGTCTGCACATGTGCCTAAGGAGAAAGAACCACAAAATAAATTCTTCAAATTTCAGACCAGCAGATGCAAAGCACTTCAGAAGAAGTATCATCAAATAAAGCACATAAATTGTTTATGTCAGTTTCTGGATCCTTCTCAGTTCTACATCATTGCAATAAATAAATGGGGAAGAAATGGAGGAAGAGAATTAAATTTCCTTTTAAGGAATGAAATTAAGTAAAGGGGAAGGGATGTTTTTGACTGGATCCAGCTTTAAGTGAAGTGCAATTTCCCCTCTGACAACAGATGTCTCCGCTTCCAACCCAATTCAAAGTGCTCCATCTTCTTTATGACCTTATGTGACTTACCACCAAGATCCCTGAAAGACCTCCTCCTTTCATATTGGTGTGATCAAGTTAAAAGAAAGTCCAAGAGTTGAGGTCTGCCTTGCAGGGTTACCGAAAACCTTTTCTGTGGCTGCGCGTTGCATTTGAATTTCCCTTTCCAGAGACCAGCTTTTCCCTCTTTTTGCTGGTCTTTCAGGATCCTATAAATGTCTTTGCTTTTCTTGTAACTATTTTTGTCTGTGGATCTGACTTTATTTTAATTAATTAATTAATTAATTCACTAGCAAGTCGGTTTTTTTCCCTCTCTACAGTGCATGGGACGTTTTTAATTTTTCTCACCTTTTTTTCCTGTTTGCAAAATGAGCTATAAGCTGCCCTTTTGGTTTACTAAAAAGAAAAGTACAAATATATTTTTTTATATCAAAAAGGAAGCAACAACTTCCTGGTTAATAAGGGCATAAGCTTGGATTTAAAGGAAGTTGTCAATTGACACATTTTCTCTAGACCAAAGAATTCAGAATACCAAGAAAACTTTTGAACAGCTCATCTTTTTTTTATGACTCATGGTAATTGCCCTTCTTACTTCATCTGCATATTCCTTAGAATGATTGCACAGCACTATCATTACTATCGTTACACTTTTCAACGCTGCCGATTGCAGAGATCATAATGTGATCTATGCAGTACAGGATAGTGTAGGAAATAGTTTGCGCACTCCATATGAAGCAGACTTTTGTGAGAATTTCCCTTCTTACATTAAGTAGACATTTCCATTAAACTTTGTTCAATTAATGTTTCACTCATAAGTTGCTGAAAATCATCTATAAAATAGAATCATTCAGGAGATCCACAAAGACTAAATTATGATGGCAATTTTTCCTTACACTAAAGTAAATATTTAAAGATCCACTCCATATTGAAAGTACCATGAGAACGGAGGGGACTTCAATCCTTCCCTGAAGACCACTTGTGATGCCAACAAATTCTCTTTTTAAAACTGGGTGTGAATTTACAAAATCAGTGGATTAGAAATGGGAAGATTCTATTTCTCCTAGGGATGGTGGTTTCTCAGTCCACTATGAGCTTACCTTAGCATGGTGTTTCTCAACCTTGATAACTTTAAGATGTGTGGACCTCAACTCCCAGAAGTCTGGGAGTTGAAGTCCACACATCTTAAAGTTGCCAAGGTTGCGAAACACTGCTTAGCATAAAGACCAGCAATGCCAGCTGTTTGATACATATCTGATGTATCGTGTTGTTTATCCCACAGATGATTGATCTTATAGACAACATCATCTAAATAAAACTGCCACTTACTAGCAATAGTTTCAGGATTCCTTCAGGATATTATGTTCCTTGAACCCCACGGAGCAACTCATACCACAAGACTTTCCATGAGAAATGCATCCAGTTCTGGCCAAGAAAATCAGGCGTATAAACCAGGTAGATGGAAACACACAACCGCCCACCGCTACCCCAAGACAGGCCTATTTTAAACGGGTTGGTTAGTTTGAGATTCGGCATGTTATGAAAACCAACTCTTCTCCTAGCTTTGTGTGTTCTAGATCGTTACAGTTCGTTTGCTTGGGTATAGCATATTACGGTATTTGAGCACAGCAATTGTGCTATTTTTATTTATTTATTTATTTATCAATCAAATTTCTACGCCGCCCATCTCACTGTCAGTGACTCTAGGCGGCTCACAAATGAGAAAGACAAAGCTTTCAGCTTTAATTTTTAGCTTTAAATTTTAAATTAATTTTTAATTTTAATGTTTAGCTTTAAGCACATGGTGTGAATGAAACCAGTATGTCTAAAGTTGGATCAAGCCACGTCTGGTTAAACATGTAGTCCAGACTTACATCTGTAAGGGTTTTTCTACTGACATCCATAGCGCATTGGTTGAACTCTCCTCTTAGTTTTAAGAGATATCTTTTCATGTTTGTAATGCTGCAGTTTCAAAGAGGGAGTTTCTTTTAAATAATAAAGGTGTAATTTTAATTTTATTTTCTACTTATTTCATTCTTCCACACCTTCGAAACAGCACTCTTCTCTTGGTTTGGAGAGATTTGGGGTTAGTCTGAGGTAAAAAGTTAGTGTCCTCCACATTGATGAAACCACAACAAGCAGCTTCAGAGATTCAGAAAGACACAGACATAGTTTGAATGAAAAACAGAAACAAAAAGTCCTCCAAATTCCATTTAAAAGAAAACACTGGTTTTAATGGCCCTCCAAAATTACACAAGTGTTGGAGCTGAAGTAATTTCAAGAGAAAAATTCTTTCGGGGTGGGGGTGGGGGGACAATTCAGAAGGCCTACTTGTAAGGCACCTGATGGTAACATTCTCTTAGAGTAGGGATCAGTCTCTTAAGAGTAGGGAGTCTTCCTCCCCTAGTCTTACTGGTGTTTCCACACTACTGGGAGCATGGAGTCCTGAAGATACCTAGCTCTTAAGCTACGTAGGGCTTTAAAGATGACAACCAGCACCTTAAATCACACCTGGAGGCCCATCAGCAACCAGTGCAGCTCTCAGACTGGTATCACATGGGCAAAATAGGGAGTGCACATAACTACTCAAACTGCTGCATTCTAGTGCAGCTGTAGCATCCAGATGCTCCATGTAGGGTACATCTATCTGGGATGTGACCCAGACATGAATGACTATGCACAGTGTGGTCATAACTGGTACAGGAGATGAAGTTGTACAAAGGCTCTCTTGGCCACAGCTGCCACATCCTGTTTAAACAGGAGCCATGAGTCCAAGAGGACCCCCAGATTACAAACCAGTTCCAAATGAGGGGGTGCAACACCATCCAGAACCAGAGATGGAATATCTTAGGCTCAGATGGTCTCTGAACCCAAGGCCACTTGGACTTGCTGGGATTGAGCCTGAGTTTGTTCTTCCTTACCCAGACCCTAGCAGTCCCATGCACTTGGACAGCACTTGACCTATTCAGCCTGGGATCAATATACAACTATATATCATCAGCATAATTCATGAAACCTGACCCCATGTCAATGGATGAGCTCCCTTAGTACTCATGTGGATGTTAAATGGTAGAGGAGAGAAAGTTGAGCCTTGTAGCACTCCACAACAGAGGGCCTTAGAACTTGACCTCTCTCCTTCCACCATCACCACCAGAACCAGTCCCACATGAGGGAGAAGGACCACTATAAAACAGTGCTTCTTACTGCCAATCCCCAGAGACAGTCGAGGATCAGTTTTAAGGGTTATTTCAACTTGCTTTGTATTTTTATTACTTCGTTAACTGCCTAGGAGAAGGAGAAGGACTTCTTTTTAGTTTTTTGTTGTCTGTTTTATGAATTAAGTTTATTGCTTTTGGCTTTAATAACTGGACATTCTATGCAACTACTGTTTAACATTTGCTAAATATAATCTAGTATGGGAGAACCTTTCAGAAAAGGGAGCCTAAATCTCCAAATTGCAGCTTGCCTTTGCATAAAATCCCTCGCACCTTGTCTGAAATTTGTCAGGAATCCTCTGCACAGAAAAGTTTCTTATGCCTGCATATTTCATCTAATTATGTATGAAGTTATACAGTTATAGCCATTTGTTGATTCTCCCCATTGTAGAGAGAGAGACACATAGTTTTGTATTTTCCAAAATCAGGTTCTTATCTGAGCCCAAGAAAAATAACCTTTAAAGCAACCCAGGTTAAATGCACATTTCTAATTAAGGAGAAAGTGCTTTTTGCTTCCTCCGCCCACTGTCTCTGACCATCTTAGTAAGATGATATGGGTCTGGAAGAATATGACACCCAAATGAATAATGGAAAATTCTGGCTCTTGCTACACAGTAGAATTCAGATCTTATTTAGCAGCTTTTTCCAGCTAGTGTCTTGAAGCTTTTTAAGAAAGCTCATTTATGAAATAACAAGCAATCATAAAATCCAATTTTACCTCACTTTTTGTTGGCAACATTCAGGAAAACAAGAAACAGCTTTATACTCTCAAAGACAAACTAACTCTGTGGTATATTTCTAATGAATGTTGGTTGAGAATTAGAATACCGAGACCCATATCTGATAATTGTGCAGCAGTCTGTCTGTCGTATCTACATACACTCGTTATAAACTAAACTAAAAAATAAAAATATAAAATAAATTACTACATCAAGCTGACAGGACATTTATCTTTCAAAATACATAATGCTAGCAAACATGAGTACCAATGTTCTTTGCGTTACAAGTTTGGAATGCTTGAACTTCCATTTTTTGGAATGTTTGCTAGAAGGAAAAAAGATGGAATGACTCACCATATCCCACTGATGTTTCTGACCCAGAGCCACTTTCTGCAGAGATGGAAGGAAGGAAAATAAAGAAGTAAGAATAGACCATCAGATTTGGCTTTGCCATCCTCTCAAGTTCATGTTCTTTCTATCTCGCAGGAGAAAAAGAGAAACTAAGGCTGAGAAAAGCCGCTTGCATTGTGCCTTTATAGCTCCTTCTAGAGTGTACTCATCAATAAAGTAACCACAGGCAAGGGGAAGTATAAACATGCAGACGAGTGGGCACAGGGTGAAACAGGAAACACCCCCCTCACCAAAAACAAAGGGTGGTGAAACAGTGATGTAAGATCAAATGATACTACCACAGCCTATGCAGTCTTAGGAACTATGGAAGGTGCTCGTTCTCCTAATTCTAC